ACAATAAGAAAGAAGAAAGAAAGAAAGAAAGAAAAAGAAAGAAAGAGGAAGGAAGGAAGGAAAGGAAGGAAGGAAGGAAGGAAGGAAGGAAGGAAATAAATCCAGGGATATTTCCAATCTGCAAGTTACAGCTAGCCACAGGACCCAAAACTATCTCACTGTATTTAAGATAGACAGTCAGTAGTAGATGGTGATAATCCACAACATGGATTTGGACAGATTTGGATTTTATGGCCAGACCCTCAATGACAGAGCTGGCTGAGCAACTTAGATTCATCATTCACCAATTTCTTTGTAACATGACTTTGCATTCTATAATATTCAAATGCAGTTTGCAGTCATCTTCTGATTTGTTTTATTCCCTAAAGAACTCATAGGTTTTATATCCCCTGGGTACTAATGTACTTGACAGTACATTTTCATTTCTTGGAGAGTCATAGAATTCTTGTTGTCATCCTATTTTCCTCACCACTTTGTGGGCTTGGTTTCAGATGGGAAGGTTGGGCTACCTTAAGCTCATCTCATTGATGAATTAGTTGCACAATAAGTGTTTTCCACATGGATGTTTTAGAATTTATTATTTATTCTTGAAGTTCAGAAGCTATTACATATCTCAAGGTTCCATGTGATTTGTGGGTTTCCCCCCCATAAAATACATTTTCAGATTGAAGTCTTTATTTCAGGTATCTTAGTACATCTTTCAATACTTTTGTTTCATTTATGTGGTTCTCATCTCCAAGACTAACTACTGTGTATATGAGATCATTTCTTTCCATTTTATTTTTCTTTCTCTAACCATACTACATTCTCATTTTCTATCACTTAATGTTCACTTCAGGCATGCATTACGTGCTGCCTGCTTGTTTTTAGAAATGCAATTTGCAATGACATGGAGGGAACTAGAGGGTATTATGCTAAGTGAAATTGGTCTGTTAGAGAACGACAAATACCATTTGATTTCACTCATGTGGCATTTAAGAAATGAAATAGAGGAACATAGGGGAAGGGAGGGAAAAATAAAATAAGATAAAAACAGAGAGAGAGGCAAACCATAAGAGACTCTTAACTATAGGAAACAAATGGAGAGTTGCTGGAGGAGAGGTGGGTGGGGAGAAGGGGTGATGGGCATTAAGGAGGGCACTTGAACTAATGAACACTGGGTGTTGTATGAAACTGAAGAATCACTAAATTCTATCTCCGAAACTAACAAAAAAGTTGATTGTACTTATGGATCATTTTCATGTTGTTTTAATCTCTAAATATTTTATTATGCCTTTCCATTGTTTTCCTGCTTTATGGTAGCTACTTTATTTCTCCATTTATTATTATTTTTAACAATAATTATTATAGATGATTACATCTATCTGCCTTTGATACATTTTTCTGCTTTGTATATTATTATTTTTTAATCTAGTTCATGTTTAAAACTTTGTGTTTAGTACTTTGAGTGGAAGTAGGTGAGATAAAATGGTGTGTTCGTGCCTTTGTGTATTTGTTTGGGGAGGACACAGAGAAGAAATAAGCTGAGATTCAAGCTTTGATTTTGGTGTGTTGTCTCAGCTTCCTCACCAAATACTGTCTTCCCTCTGCACTGAGCACATTTCTGTTCTGTGTATATTGCCCTCTTTGATGTGGGCAGGTCATTACAAGATTCTTTGTATATATTTCCCCTCAAGTTTAGGAGTCTGGGACACAGAGAAATAAAAGGTGACATTCTGGCTACTCCATCCCCTCTTAACCACTCACTCCCTGTTGTGGTGTGGAGTTGTGTCCCTGTAGAGATAATCTCTATTTCTCTCATCACCAGCCCACACTTAATAATACTGGTCACTGTAAATTCCTGTTCAGAATTTTTGGGACTTTCTCATTTACCTTTAAAGATATAGACTCCCTCATCAAGGACAGCAGAGAAATAAATTGGCTTTCAATATTCTCCTTTAAATTGTTCCAAATTTTAGGGGTGCCTGGGTGGCTCAGTCAGTTAAGTGTCTGCCTTTGGCTCAGGTCTGCCTTTGGTTTAGGTCATGATCCCAGAGTCCTGGGATCAAGCCCCAAGTAGGGCTCCCGGCTCAGTGGGGTCTGCTTCTCCCTCTCCCTCTGCAGCTCCCCCAGCTTGTGAACATGTTCTTTCTTTCTGTCAAATAAATAAATAAAATCTTAAAAAAATAAATTTTTCCAAATTTTACTATATTGCACATCTGTTCTTCGTACATGTGGTATTATACATAGTATGATAATCTATTAATTCCTTAAGTTTCATAAAATATGGAATTTTATTCTCTGCTTCTTATTCTTTTCCTAGTTTTTTTTTTTTTTAGAGAGAGTGCACATGTGTGAGAGCGAGGGGGGAAGGGCAGAGGGAGAGGGAGAGCGTATCCCAAGCAGGCCCTACACCCAGCACAAAGCCCACTGCTGGTCTTGATCTCATGATCCTGAGGTCATGACCTGAGTTGAAATAAAGAGTTGGACACTTACCTGACTGAGCCACCCAAGCACCCTTCTTTTCCTAGATTTTTATTTTTTTCAGCTTTATTGAGTTATAATTGGCAAATAAAATTTTAAAATATTTAAAGTGTATGTGGTGATATATGTATACTTTGTGAACAGAATCCCCCTCATCAGTTAATTAACATATCCACCAACTCCCACAGTGTTGTCAACTATATTTCATGGTTTTTCAGAAACACCTACAGTAAGCAGGCTTTTAATTTTAATTAACATTTGAATTGTGAATCTACCAATGACATTAGGTTAATAGGAATGAAGCCTCTCTTTCAAGTGAGTTTCCAACTTCAGATGATTGGGCTGTCTTACGTTATTATCTCTTTCCTTTGTAGGCAGGAAATGACTACATATGAGAGACAAAATCAAGTTCAAGATAAGAAAAGTAAGTTATTGCCTCATAATATTCTTCATACAAGGGAAGTTGTAAATTTAAACATCTAAATTAGTTTTGATATTATGTTAGGATTGAAGGAAACACAGCTTCGAGTCCTTATGGGGATGTCTCAGCCCTTCATTTTTTTTTTTTTTGTCTAACAAAACTGATCTCATTACTTTTTGTATGAAAGTAATATCTGTGTGTGATTTATTTCATTTTCCTTAAATTTTTAGGTTTTACAAGTTTTTTATTCATTTTTTGTTAGAGGTAATAATTTATTTATCTTGTTAAAAATCTAATAACCCCATAGAGTGTTAACCAAATGACATATAAAATACAGAAAAAGAGAGAAATAAGCCAGATTCTTAGCTATTTGTCCTATTAGAAATATTCCATTTGCTTCTCCACCATAGGAGGGCCAGGCAGAGACTCCTCAGCTAGAGAATTTTTCAGGTTGGAACTCTCTTCAGGCTTGCCTTCTACACATCATTGGGTACAAAAACCTTACTGCAGACTTGGAAAAACTGTGCAGAGAACCCTCTGATTTTGATAATCTTCAACATGAAGAAATGCTTTTGAAGAAGTTTTAGAAAGAACATCATGGGGAAGAAGGAAAGATGACGGAGGAGTAGGGGACCGTATTTCAACTGGTTCCCGGAATTGAGCTGGATATCTACCAGACCACTCTGAGCACCCACGAAACCAGCCTGAGATGTAAGAAGATCTGGATCTCTACAAACAGAATATCACAAGTGGTTGGTTTCGAGGTACGAAGCGGAGAGCCCTGATTCTGTGAGCAGATATTGGAGGATAAATGGCAGTGACAGGGTGCCTGGCCATGGGGATCCCACACTGCCGGTGAGCAACAGACTCAGTTGCTGGGGACGGGGCACAGACTCATAGACCTGTAGCGGTGGGGAAAGGACTTTAGGGAAGCCCCCAGGACAGAAACCCGGAGCGGTGGGGTCACATGGGTGAACTGGGAGCAGCTGGCGGTTTTAGAAGCACAAAGGGCAGAGACTGCCCCAACCTGGAGGCAGGACTGGGGGTGCTGCAGAGGGGCGCACAACCCAGGACGATGCAGTTTATAGCAGAATGGACAGAAATGGAGATGATGTGGCCTGGGGAGCCCACTGAAGAACAGACTGCGGTCTCTCTGCTCTGAGGCAAAGGGTTGGAAACCATCCCTTCTGCTCTGACTCATGGAAAAGATGCAGAAAGCCGCCAGGGAAAGATGCCAGAGAACAAAAGCCCCCAAAACTGATTCTGACTGAGCCCATCCCCCACCACAGGGGCCAGGGCAACTCTGCCCAAACAGGGTTGCCTGAGTAACAGCATGGCAGGCCCCTCCCCCAGAACACAGGCTGGGAAAACAAGAGGCTAGCAACCCTAAGGTCCCAAGAAAACAGGTGCATCATGCTTGGGTTCTGGTTAATAATTTGGACTCAATACATTCCCTCAAACACCATCAACAGAATGACTAGGAGGAGAAACCCCCAAAACAGAAAAGACTCAGAGATTATGACTTATGCT